ATATTCGGACATAAATGATATTTAGTTGTTTGTAATGAGCTTTGGAAATAATCACAAAGGATTGAGATTTTTCGAAATCCTGATGTCATAGTTAATCAAAGCTACCTTCAAAGTAATCATTTACTTTAACATTAACATTAACACTACCTTTACTCTTGTAAGTAAAATAATATCTTTATAAAAAGTCAGCCAACTTATTTCATATCTCCTGTTATGTGGTATAACCACGCTGCGGCTATATTATGGTTGTAGCACGAATAGGTCAGCTCGACCGTGGAATGACCATGCTCTTACAGAATGCCAGCGTAAAATAACAGCTTTGTGCTGCTGTGTTTCGTTTGGTGAGGGTAGAGAATCAGAGACCCTTTTTACTGGAAACGAGGCATTTCACCGTAGTCCTCAGGAATGACAACACATGTGCCTTTTGATTCTTAATCAAATCGTCTATGGGCCACAGCATCCACTTATCATCAGGTGGACTGTGTGATCGTTTGTTCCATCCATTCTACATATAAAAAAAGAGATATTTGTTTATTTCTTTATTTCTTTCTTTATATAATTTGCATGCCACAAGAAATACATCATACATAAAGTGACGCCCCGTAGGGGCATAGCAATTTATAAGAGGGTAGTTATTTATTTTATTATTCTAAATATTAACTACTACATACTAAATACCAACTATCTTATTTCTTATTTTGCTAGTCTAACATCAATTTTTTTTAAATTATTACACATACGTTTACTATTTATTTGCATCTATAAAGAATTCACTTAAATTATAATAACTTTTATCGATTAAGAATGACTTTAATTTTTTTTACAAAAGACTTGGTGTTGTCAATATTTTTGAATTTATTTGGAACATTATTATATATTTTAATTACCATCGTATGGGGACCTGTTGTGAATAATTTTAATTTTGAGAATTGAATATTCAATTTATTTTGAGTTCGATTATTTCTTTTAACAGTATTTACAGGATCGTATAGAGTTGGATGTTTTCTAACGAACTTACAACATTCAATAATGTAAATAGACGTAAGTGTGAGTATACCAAGTTTTCTAAAATGTGGTCTGCATGAGTCCGTTTTTTCTATATTTGTCAAGATTCTGATACATTTTTTTTGCAATTTGAAAATATGCTCTATGTCAGTGCAGTTACCCCAGATGACATTCCTTAAGTTAGTATAGACTGAGCATACGCATAATACGCCGAAAGAGCTGTTTTTAAGTCAGTAACTTTTTACAAATGTATGAGTGCAAATATAAATGAGGACAATTTACTCGTTAATTTTTCAATATGGGGTTTCCAATTTAGATGTGTGTCAATTTCAATACCGAGTAATGTTGTAGAGTTGACAGTATCGATCGTAAAGTTTTTGTAGTTAAAGTTTATTTGTACAGGTCGTTTTTGATAAGTTTTAAACAGGATTAATTTAGTTTTATTATAGTTCAGCTCTAGATATAAATATAAAATAGCAATATTATATAAAGAGAAAAAGATATAAAGAGTGGCTCGAATCGTCGCGAACCGAGTCCTTTCCGATCGGCTCGATTCATTAGCACTGCGAAGAGATGTTGCTTCCCTTTGCATTTTCTTTCACATTTACCACGGGGAATGCTCTGAGGAATTGTTCGGATTAATCCCAGCCGCCAAATTTCACGAACGCACATCGCGGCATAACTCCCGATACCATCCACACCATCTGGATGATTGGCGGTCCACCACTGTGCGATTTATAAGATGTTTTCTTCCTTGCACAACTTCCTTGTGGAATCGATTACCATCAGCGATTTTTCCGGACCGATACGACTTAGGGACCTTCAAAAAAAGTGCCTACTCTTTTTTAAAAGGCCGGCAACGCATCTGCAATTCCCCTGGTTCCCCAGGTGTTGCAGTTGTTGCTTGTTTTCCCCCTCTCCTATAAAAAAACCAATCAATAGAATCAGGAGTTACTTTGCCTGATTCTATTCATTAGTATCATAGATATACTTTAACTGATATCCTTATATTTATATAAGGATATCCATCTTTTGATCTTGTTGGAACTTAATTTACTTCTTTCCACGTAATG